ACAATTTAGTTTTAGGAAATAGCCGCGATGTCATCGGCAATCATTTAAGTTGTCGGATATAGTTGTCCTCTTATAAATTATTCTTATATCAAGTCAATACGCCTTCTTTAATTTGATAGAGACCAAAGTACCGGATATGTGAAGTTCAATAGTTCATCAGTCATCACTTCACAATCTGTGGAATCTGATCACACTTTAACCCAAAAAGATAATGTAATACTGAGACCATCGACCACATCAAAGAAACTAAGAAGGTTCAAACTTTGAAATGTTTATAGGGTTTAAGGTCACGAACTCGATATCATCTCCTCTAAATTCACGATCATGATGTTACATTACTGTCCCAAATGGCCAAATGGCTTAACATGTAAAATAATACAACTAAGAACAAATTGATCAACTGCATAACTTTTATTACAGATTCTTCAATACGAACTGGTTCAGTACGTATTGCGTGCGAACTGCAATCTCCACCACAAAAATTTTTTTCGGTTACTTTCTAACCCAAACTAACAGTCAACTGGACCCAGTAGCAGACAGGAATAGCAGGTTTATGAGGGGGTGGGCAGCAGGTACCCAGTTTTGGGCCTGTTCACTTTAAGCCCAACTACCACTTCCAACCCTGAAAATAACCTTGTCGCACAGAAAACGCACTAAAGCGTTTCGTACTGAAGCACGACTCAACTTTTATTAGCACAACTGCATAACTATACAAATGAGAGGCAACACCATCTCATGTTCATCAATAAAGTTCCTAGCAATCCATGTGGTCATGGTGTAATGGTCCTCAAACCAACCATAAAAATAAACAAGTCAGCTAATTGGTGTTGACATTTAATCAACAGCTATAGATAATCCAACGGTCACAATAAATCAACAGCTAATTGGTGTTGACATCATCCCATAATATTCAATGGCTCAACTGTAATTTATTACCATTTAACTGGCATTCTTGTCACTCAAATCGAACACGATTCCCTTTCCAACCGTCGTTCTTCACATGTGTAGAAAAAAGTTTAAGTTTATAAAGTAAACAAACAAACCAAAATACGAAAAAAAGAAAGAAAGCTTATCTTTCTCTCTAAATGCAGAAAACCAAAATGCTTTTCTCATCATCTTCTTCTCTACTCTGTTTTCTATCTTTCTCTTCTTTACTCTTCTTCGTCTCAGAAACCAAACCCATTACCTTACCTCTTAATCAGTTCATTAGAACCCCATCTTCAGATCCATGGGAAAAGATTACTCATTTAACTACTGCATCACTTACCAGAGCAAAACATCTAAAATATCCCCAAAACACCAATATTTCAAAAACCCCTCTTTCTCCACAAAGCTATGGAGCTTATTCAATTTCTCTCAGCTTTGGTACTCCCCCTCAAACTATTCCATTCGTAATGGATACTGGAAGTGATTTAGTTTGGTTCCCCTGTACTCAACGTTATCTCTGCAAAAACTGTACCTTTTCAAATCCCAATACCAAACTTCCAACTTTTCTTCCAAAAAATTCTACTTCTTCCAAGCTCATTGGTTGCAAAAACCCCAAATGTAGTTGGATTCATAACACAGATGTTAATACTAGATGCAAAGATTGCAAACCCAATTCCAAAATTTGTTCACAGATCTGCCCACCTTATATAGTTATCTATGGCTCTGCTTCAACTGGTGGAATTCTTCTCTCTGAAACTCTCGATTTACCGGAGAAGAAAATACCGAATTTCGCAGTTGGGTGTTCTCTTTTTGCTTCACGTTCACCTGCCGGAATCGCTGGGTTTGGTCGTGGCTCAGCTTCTTTACCATCTCAACTCGGTCTGAATAAATTCTCTTATTGTCTTGTTTCTCACCGATTCGACGATTCAACTCAGAGCAGCTCACTTGTTTTAGATGGTGGGGATGATTCCGGTGATACAAAAACCACCGGTGTAAGTTACACTCCGTTTATTAAAAACCCAGTAACCGGAAGAGCAGCATTCTCAGTTTATTACTATGTTGGTTTAAAAAAAATTACCGTTGGTAAAAAAACAGTTAAGATTCCAAACAGTTATTTATTTCAAAGACCCGATGGTAATGGTGGAACCATAGTAGATTCTGGTTCAACATTCACATTCATGGAAGGAAGAGTGTTTAAGATATTTGCAAGTGAAGTAGAGTCTCAAATGACACATTTCAAAAAAGCAACTGACATCGAAGCCATCACCGGATTACGACCTTGTTACGATATATCCGGTGAGAAATCGGTTACATTTCCAAAATTGGTCTTGCATTTTAAAGGTGGAGCTGATATGGAAATACCATTATCGAATTATTTTTCGTTTATTGGTGGTAATGGTGTAGTGTGCATGACTATTATCAGTGATGGAGTTGTCGGTGATGATAATAATATGTTTGGTGGACCAGCTGTTATTTTGGGAAATTATCAATTTCAGAATTATTATGTGGAGTATGATTTAGAAAACCAGAGATTTGGATTTCGGCAAAAGACTTGCAAGTAATTAAAAGTGAGTGCAGCATTTCAGTTTTTTCTTTTCCGCAATCGAATGATGTAATAACGGTGAATTATATATTTAAATCTTAGCAGTAGCCAGTAGGTGATATTTAAAAATTTTAATGCATTTTGCTGGTATGATGTTGGAGTTTGACTTCAGATATCATCGCAAGTCCACAACTGTGATAATGCACTGATTAAAATGGAAATAGTATGACTTCACTTGCATATATCTTTATTTGAAGATTGAATGGTGGCTTTATGATCATAATTATTTTATTTTTTTGCTAATGAATTATAATCTACTGCTTTTAGATTTATGTGGTGCCAAAATTTATAGTGATGCAGATTTGATTATCTCACATATATATGTCAATTGTCATGCATGTGTTCTTCATCAAAGTTTTCAGGTGAACAGGTCGACCTTTTTTTACCTTTACTTTATTTGTGCCTTTTGAGTTTAATTTTGTGGTATCACAAAGGTGGTGATGTGGACCACTGAAGAATCCGTGATTTGAAGACCATGGTGGCATGGCATGGTGTATGTGAAATGGATGTAAATTGTAATCTCAAATTAATATACAGAGACCAGTCCAGGCTAACATATATAGTCTTCTTTATTTTTCTTGATGATTTTCTATTGACTTATGAGAGCAACAATTTTTCATGGAATGAGTACAGCTACAGGCCTAGAGTATTACCACTTTAATATTATTGTGCTTATCTTGCACTAAATTTCATTAATTTGTGTCTTTGTGAAGATGGTTACTTTCTCTGTTTGATTATTATATTTCATATGATATGATGATTGCGACATTTGAACATAGACACAAAGTTTATTGGCTTTTTTTTTTTCATTTGTAATTTGTTTTATATAACTTTTAGGGGTTTTAAACCCAGTAGTATATGCATGTGTTTAGGTAGTGATTAGACTTTTCATCAACTTTTCTTTTGCTCTTTACATTTACACAACTTAGACTATAATCACTAAAAATTAGTGAAGATGGTGTCGACATAAGCATGTCACTTTCGATAGAATATGAATAACTGAATAAGTAATCTTTTGAACGATTAGATGAAGAATGCTAGAAGTTGGGTAGGGACTAAGCAGTTGTTCCACTAGATGGTTACCAAAAAAAA